ACTGCTTTCAATATTTCAATTTTCAAAAGAATAAAGTTATACTTGTACTTTACTTGTATTGCCAATTATAAATATGGACTCCCCTGTTTTATTACTTTTATATATATTACTATTATTTATACATATTATAATATTATAAATTTATTTTTTCATTATCTATAAACTTTTTAGTAAAATATAATTTTCATATTATACCAAATTTGTAATTCGCAATAGATAATGCAACAAGGGTGAGTGGGATTTTTTTTTTTCAACTTTTTTTTTACCCTAAGGCCATAGGAGCCAATATAATTAAAGGGTGTAACATTACAACTACAGGGTGTAACTATAATAATTTAAAAAAAAAGAGGCTCATTTATTTTTAATCATTTTTAATGACTCTTAACCTTTAAACCCCAAATCACAAGCTATAACCATTATTATCATATACACAAAGGTTTTACCATAACAGCATAGAAACAAGGTTGGCCGACACTTTTAGGTTGGCAATGAAAAAAATTGCCGACCTTAGACACTTTTAGGTCAGCATTTCCAAATGCTAATCTTTATTGTTATTCTACCAATATCATCATTTAAATTTTTTTAAGAAAAGAAAAGAAATATTTCTTTTAGAGTTTTTGTTTTATTATTGTTTTGAAAATAAACTTGAACCAAGCACAGACACTTTGTGGTATATTGCTAAAATTACCCATGAGGATACTCTCTCTTCAAGCACAACACTTTGATTTCTATCAGTTAAAAGATTTATCCATTTCAATAATGTAGATGCAATTCAGTGCATCCTTTATCAAAGACCTTTGTGAAATCTGTACAAAAGATATCAAGTTGTTGTTATTATATGGAACACTTGTTGTTACTATATCCATATATTTTAGTTTAGTAGTTGTGCAATATTTACCTTTTTTTTCTGTGCTTATGAGATAATTATGTAATGATGGTTAGGGTATTGAGAAGGGAGTTAGAAGAAGACATACCAATTTAAATGTCAAATTTTAAAAATTTATTTTACTTTAAAAATGAATGTTTTAGGTTATTAAGCTAAGATTTTTTTTATCTGTTATCTTAAGTAGTAGCCCATAACCAATATGTTTGCTTTGCCATCTTTGTTATAACCAAAATCTTAATGTCTTGACTAATTTTAAAAGCATAATCTATACAATTATTTGCAAAAAATCTTCTAATACATTTTAAACATATATTATGCTGAAAATAAGTCCCAGTTTTATTATCAGATTTTCAGTAAATTTGTCTTATGAAAATTCATTTTTACTAATCCAAAGAAACAAACAACGTTTTCAGTCCAAGAAAGAATCAAAATTTTTCAAATATATACATTTTATAAAGTTTATAACATTTATTATATTTTCAATGTAAATTTGTTGTTAATCCTATTAAGGATTGAATTTACTTATAATTTTGCCATTGTTATTGTTTATGATTATTTTTTTTTTTAGCATCAACCAATTCATAGTTACAATTATGAAGAACTTATGCCGGTGCAAAGAGTGCCTGTGGTATGTAGTTTGTGTAATTTTCTTTTTTGTGATGAGTATAACTTTTAATTTTTTTATCTTTTTTGTTGTTGTAAAATTATTCACAATTATATACTATATTATATTTGTAATACATTTTAATGCATTCTTTTTCTTTTCATCTTTAAAAAGATTTTTAAAACATCTTTCACTCTTATAAAAAAAAATTTAATGTGTGAAATATTTTAAAATATGTTTTTATGTCAAAGTATTTTTAACAAATATTTTTATTTGTGACAGTAGTTGCTTAGAAACTATTTTATTCATATATTTCAAAAAAGCAATAACATGTTTTGAAATTGAATAGAAAAAGTTGGAAAATACTAAATAATTCATGGACTGTTCACACTCTGTTATTAATATGTAATATCTTTATTTAAATGCCTCTAGTGACTACAGCTATCTTATCATGTGATTTTCATATGACCATGATAGTAAATACAACATTCAAGAATTTTTTTTTTTTTTTTTTTTTTTTTTTTTATTTTTTTCTTTTGATTTTTTTTTTTTTTTTTTTTTTTTTTGATTTTTTTTTTACTTTCAAAAAAATAAATTTGAACTTTCCTAAAACTTTAAAACTCATCCTTATACTTATTTAAATAAAACTAAATTATATATATATATATATATATATATATATATATATATATATATATATATATATATATATATATATATATATATATATATATATATATATATATTTACATTTACATTTGCTCTTTATGATATTAATATAACTATAATTGTTGTTGTTATATGTTAACCAATATTTTTTCAAAAAAAACAAGATTTAGTTTACAAAATGAATATTTATATAATACATAACTTGGAGTCATAGAATAACTATAATTTAAATGAATTGTTCATTGTGTCGTCATTAGAAGAACTAATGTCAAAATTTATTTACCATGTAAATTTCATCATTTTTTATCATTACATCTGATTGATGATCTGATCATAGTCTTTTTGCTGCATTTGATTTATTCGATTCCCGACCCTGTGTATAATTGTTCTTTACATTGTTATTGATATCGTATTTTTCTTCAAATGAGTCTCCTATTTTTCCCAACAATAATCCTACAATACGACAAGCTATTGTTTCATCTGATCTATTATTTGAATTCAAACGGTTTAATATTTGATTAAAGTCAATATTTTCAGGGTTCATTTTAAATGAATCGATAAAGCTCTGTATCTCTTTTGGGATGATCATTTGTGCTGGAGGATTATCAGGTTCGTTTGTTTTTATGTCAGTTGAGATTGATTCGTTTGAAACCTTTTCATCAATGCGAAAATCGTTCAGTTTTGATTCTTCTGCTCACCCAAGATTTTTTTTTTTGATTTTAAAACCTACAAAAATTATTTTCATCAAATAATCTTATTATACATTTTATCCAGTACATCTTGGCATGCCACATGCTCCTAAAATACCAAACACTAATCTAATTAAAAATAAGAAGTTTAAAAACTTAAATAAGATGTATTTTTTTAATGTTGTTAATTGGTTATTCAATGTTCTGCGAAGTAGCAGAAATTTCAAAGTTGCTCACATGTATGATGGCATTGTGTGATATTGTAAAAAATAGTTGAAATGGATAGTATTATAATTTTTTTTTAAGTTTCTAAAAAAAAATTGTAACTTACCTATTTCTTTTTCTTTTTGATGCTTTTCAATTTATCAGTGTCCATGTGTTCTTATATTGTGGCAGCATTCCAAATTAGATCAATAGTTTGTTTGATTCAGGGGGTTCTATAAACTTTATGTTAAACAATTGGAAATAGCATTAAATTTTATTTTGTTGTTAATTTTATAGTTTACTGTTGTCACAATTTTAAAGTTTATTTCATTTATACTTTTAATTATTTTTTATTTATGTTTGTATTTATATTCAATTAGTTTTTTAATTAATTTTTTTAAAAATTGATGATTCACCTCATTGGAATTTGCTTATAAAAACCCCCTTAGATTCTGAATATGCTGTATACAGTATTCAACTTTATTATTCCCAAAGTGATATAAGTATTCAATTTATTATTTATTATGATTTACACTCACCTAGCTTGAAAAATACAAATAATTCAAAGTTTTTTGCAAGGCTTGTGTGACTTTTAAATGATGTCATTTTTTGTTGATTTCAAATTTTTTATTTTTACTGTTAAAGTTGTATAATTGTTTTTGGTATATTAAAAAATGATTTGTAAGTGTTGTCTTCACTCATCCCCACTCCCCTACCCCCTCTCCTTTTCTTAAAAACTGTGTTATTTTTTTATATTGTTTAATATCTATGTTAATAATAGTTTTTTGTATATATATATATATATATATATATATATATATATATATATATATATATATATATATATATATGTGTGTATGTATATATATATATATGTGTGTATGTATATATATATATGTGTGTGCATATATATGTATGTGCATTAATATATATATTTACATATATATATATATATATATATATATATATATATATATATATATATATATATATATATATATATATATATATATATAATAATAATAATAATAATAATAATAATAATAATAATAATAATAATAACAATAATATGTAAATGGATGTTCTGTTTTTAGTCACCATATCAACCATATGATGTTCCAATTTTCCAGCCTCTTGGTGGCTCCTCTAGGGATGGACTACCTTATCAAGGTATGAAAGATGTTACTATTTAAATGTATTTATACTTTTTAAACACTTTTATTTCGTTATACTTTTCTCATGATTTTTTATAGGTAATGATTCAAAATATTCCCTTACAAGCACTGATGAAACTGGGAATGTTGTACAAGGTATTAAAATGTATAAAATCTTGTTCAAACAAATGAAGTTCATATATAAAATATACTATGAACTTGTTTAGATTAAATTTTGCATTAAATATTTTAGATTAAATTTACTTATTAAATTAAGTTCAATTTTTATTAAGTGTAATTTCCATTACAATGTTTTTAATTTATATAATGTATAAGTAGGCTGGTTTTTTAGAAAATCTTAAAAAATATATATTGTATGCTTAGCAACTCCACATATGGCTACCGGTAACCTAACACCTCAACAAACTGCTTATTTAGCTAGTCAGTATCAGTATGGGTTATCAGTATACGCTTATCAACCTGGTATGATGGCACAAAGTTATCATCCTTCTGTGTACCAAGTAATTTAATTGAATGCAAAACTCTTTGTTGTATAGTCCTGATTTAAATGTTTAAAATTTCAAACCCTTTTTTTTTTTTTTTTTTCAAGGCTAAACCTGTTGCTGCACAATTTTCTTCTCAGTATCAGTCTCAACAAAGTGGATTTGTGCCAAACAAGTTCACTGGTAACTTTTTAGAAATTATTTTTTTAAATATAAATCTTTTTTTTTTTAAACATTTTTATTACCCTAGCAGCAATTTTTTTTACCCTTAATTTTTATCTTAGCAACAAGCAGCGCAAGCCATTCATCTTCGCCAACAGTTTATAAAACTCAGGTATCTTAGAGCTATTCTTTGTTTCCGTGTATATTTACAAAACCATAGAATTTTTGAAATTGTAAAATTTTCTTGGTTCACAAGTTTTGAAACATAGTTGCTAAACTCCACCAATAAGGTTGTAAACTAGTTTTTAATCTTAACATAACGAAAAGAATTCAGCATAACTGTTCTAAAGATTTTTTTTTAAAACAAACGGAAGTTTTAGACTATATTTTAGATTTGTTATAATATCAAATGTTTGAGGTTTAATAAAACATGCATTACTAAAGAAATAATAAAACTATGTTTCTATCTAAGAATTAGTAATTACTATTTAGTCATGCGAATGTAATTAGTAAAATTTTTTGAATAGAAGTATGACATTAAAAATATCTTTTAAAATATGTCTGTCGTGCTGCAAATTAAGTTATTCCAGTCAACTGTTTTAAATTGGCAATTTTCCAATTGTCTTAACATCTTAAATTAGTGTATTGGTGTCATCGACCATGACACAAAATACGTAGTCTACGGAAAATTATGAACTATCACTAAAAATTGTTTGTATTGCTTTGAATTACGTTCAGAAGTTCAATTGAAAATGTTTTTGATTGTAAGATTTCGGAAACATAATGAATGGTTAATAGTTTAATTAAACATCGTATTTGTTGATTTATTAATATTTATTGTTAAATACAACCTTAATGATTTAATTTAAAAGATTAAAATGAGAAACAGATTGTTTAATGACTTGTATTCTCGTTTACTTAAAATTCATAATTTAAGGAAATAATTTAAAGTTATGCTATGTAGAATAATCTATACAATAAAATAAAAAGGTAAAGAGTAAGGATTGACAATTGAGAATCTTTTTTAATTGTTCATCGCACTTTTTTGCTTTTAGTTTTTTTAATTTGTTTTAGTATCAAGAACCAACCAAAGGTTTTCATAGCAATCAAGTAACTAACTTAAACTCACAGCATGGTTTGATTCACAATCAGACTCCTCAACACATGACCAATGTGAATCATTATATGATGTCTCATAGTGGGCAGGTATTAGGTGTTTGTGTGTTCTTTTAAACAAGAGTACTCTTTACACTAATAAGATGTTTCATCATTTTATAACACTTGGAAACTTTCATTTTTTTTTTTTTTTCTGCAACACTATTACATACTAGGCAACATAATGTGATTACTATGTTACTTTTGTAGTTTTAATTTTTAGTGCATTTTGAACATATTGAGTTTTAGTTAAAAGTTGTTAACAATTCGCTTGACGGCCAATTCATATTAAACTTTTTTTTTTTATCAATAATATTGAATTTTAGAGCATTTGGATTTAAAAATTCAAATATAATTTTTCTTGATAGCCTAAGTATTTTTTAAGAGACCAGTTTGTTATTTGTATTTATGAAGTATTCACCCGAAATATTTGCGTCACAGCTTGACAAATTGATTTGCTACGTCATGACGCACTCGTTTTGAGCATTCAAAATACAAATAAATTAAATTTTAATTTTATCTTAAAAAAATTACTAAAATATAATTTGATCGTAGTTTGTTTGCACATATTTTTATTCCAAATGCTTAAAGTTTCACTTTATTAAAATAAAAAAAGCTTCTAACACGGATTGACCGTTTTTATTTAGTTGTGCTTTTATTCATGATTGTTTTTTAGTCTATAAACGCCACATTTTAAAAGTATTTATTCGTCATGTTTTATTTAATGTTATTTTTCCCTCTAATAGCCTCAATGTTATTTCCCAGGCCAGCCATTTGGGAAACCTCCAACAGCAAATGGACACTTCTGCGCATCGTGGGTCTGTTCACCAGGTGTCGTTTAGTCCCAACGCTAACCAAAAAAAAGACCTCAAAGGAAGCTACCAATCATATTGGTCCGGAAATAGGTAAAAGCTAGCCGCTTAATCGAGTGAAAATAGCGACCTGTAGATGGTCAATTTAGAGAACTGCGTTCTCCATACGCATCCTAATTCGATCGTTAATTGCTGGTTTTTTATGATCGCATTGTGTTCTTGCATCTTCCCGCATTGTAAATTTTATTCGCTGGTTTTAAAAAATCTTTTTTGTTGTGTGAAAGAATATAATGTCATTCAACCAGTTGTTATATTTACGTAAAATAAAGTTTTGGGTTTAACAAAAATATAGACTTAATAAAATATCACCTGAATATATCTGATAATATTAATACGCTAATTTAATAGTAGTAGTTAATAGTCATTTTCTAGGCTTTTCTATACGCGGTTTTTGTTTTTTAATTTTATTTACTAACAACCCGTATTACAGGTTGCTTACTGCTAGTAGATTATAAATCATATTGCATTATTGAACTCATGAGTTTATTTATTAAGTCTTTTATTTAAAAAAAAAATAATTTAAATCTAAAAGTGCAAATGCAGCTAACTTCTAGCACATTATTTGTAAATATAGAATCATTGGTAAATGGCACGCTAATACTTAACTTAAGGATCGTCCGTAAATTACGTAACGCAAAATTAAACTTATAGACAAAAGACAAAGAGTTAATCCTAGAAACTACTTCCATCGCAGATTCTTTAATTAAACCAATAATATCATTTAACCTTTAAATGTAACAACCTTTCAAGTCAAGCGAAACGCAGCACAAAAGAGCAAAATGATCTCCTAACTATATTTTTTAAATTAGTTTTGTGTTGTGTAATTTATGGACGATCCCTTAAAAAGAGAAAGATAAAGAGATTTAAATTAAATTGCGGTATAAAAACTTTAGGCTATTTATTAGTTATTTGTTTGTTTTTTCTCTAAGATAGGGTAGGGTGTGGTAATCTAAGCCTATTTTAAGCTGATTTCGACTTTAAGCAAAAAATATATATATATATATATATAGCAAAATAATTTTCTTTTTTGAAGAAAATCTCAAAATCTTGATTAAAGATCTTTTTTTGTAAACTACATCAAAAAAAGTTTATGCATAATTTTTAAGGTTGTCTAAGAAGCACCAATTTGAGTTGTATTCTATAGACCCATATTACAGTGTTTATTGGGGTAATGTGGGTCAAAATTACATTTTTTTTTAAATGAAGTATACCAACTAATAGTAAAATATGACTGAATATCATTGAATATGTATTATATTTAAATTGTAATATGTATTATATTTAAATTGTAATATGTATTATATTTAAATTGACAAAACATAATAGTACTTCAATAGATGTTTTACATGCAAAAGAACTTTACTCGCTCAAAGTGTTAAATTAGAAATGCAAAATGAATAATTTTTTCTCTGATAGCTGTTTCCAAGGAATGCAGAACATTCTTGTGGTTTAATTTCCATAGTTTTTTTTACAAGTTTTCTAAATATATAGAATAAATCATATAATAACTCTTCAAATTGAATATATGATATTCAAATTTGAAAATCGAAGTACTTATAAAAAATTAAAACAATGAAATTGTTTAACGAAGAATTTAAAGCTAAAGCTCAGTTGAAACTTATCCAGAAGTTTTTGTGTTATATATTAAAAGTTCATTATCCTACAAGAGTCTGTTAGTTTCAATTGAAAACATAATATCATTATATCTTCAATGATTATCTAAATGAATCCATAGCAACATGAGTCCAGAAACATATTCAGACATCTAATTTTTAGTTTGAAGGTATTTATTGTTGATAAGCATCAGATTCTTAAGAGCAAAAAACGCATTGACATATAGACATACATTACCACACCCAATAATGTTGCTTATTTCAACAACTAAAAAAAAGTTAATCATTATTCCGTCTTAAAACTAATTGAACCTAATTATCTGGTAATTTTTCTTCTAAATAAAACATTTTTTTTATCTTCCGACCTCGTTTTTAATACCTTTTTTTGAAGTTTAAGGTTTTTGATAAAATTCTTTCTTTAAATGTATGCGCCATTTTAAATTAAAATGCACTTAAAAATTCGCCTAGTAAACTGATAATTATAATTTAGAGCTGTTTTAACCACCTATAACAAACAGTTGCTACCTAAAATCTTTCTACTGAAAAACTGATAAATGTTGATTAGACTCACACAACTTCTTAGACCCACATTTCCCTACCCTACCCTACAAGTAGTTACATACATAAATAACTACACTAAGATACAAATAATTACAATATTTTACATATTAAACTTTTTTTAAAATTTAGACAAAAACTAGTGTTTCTCACCCGGTCTCACCTTACCGTTAGCGGGGTAATTTGCAAGTTTTTTCTTACCTGTTAATTTCAGGTGATTTAAAATTTTATAGGTTTTTCAAAAGTTATTTCCGTAAATGAACATTTTCGACTGTGATCAACTTTGTGAAGACATTAAATCAATGATATATTATATAAAGTAGATGTCTAACTTCGATTCAAAAAGTGAAGCAGCTTTTGTTCTTTTTACAAATGACGGATTAAATTTGTAAACAAATTTAATTTAACTAATTTAATATATTTTGATACAACAATTATATAAAGGTATCTAAACCATGGAAGAAAAAAAATACGAAAGAAAAACACTCTTTCGGGAACTAAGGTCACAAAACGATCACTTTGCGGTGTGTAAACTTCTGAAAAAACTACCTGGGGCATGATATTAAAATTTTTACATTTCGTTCTAAATTATTGGTACTTAACCTGTATCTTTTAAAAAGAACTACAATATAAAATTTCAAGTGCAAAGTTCATATCACTCAAAAGTTATACGACGCACTCTAAAAAGTTGAATTTTGAAATAAATGCAAAATAAGTAATGATATACTTAAAAATTTATAAATTAAACCATAACCATTGTTCTTTTAATTTACTAGTGTTCGTAAAACCTTTACCCGCTCCTCAAATATGCTTTTTCTGTAGCTTTTTGAATCAAGTGATCTCCTTTCCTTTGACATACTCTCAAATATGTCTCAAATAATTACCGATGAGTATCATCCCAATGGGCACCGGACCAAAAAAAGACGTCTTTTAAACGTTCAAAAGACGTCCAAAACGTTCAAAAGACGTCAAAAACGGGCATAAGACATTTAAAAGACGTCTTTTTTATGTCCTTGCCCACTGGGATTGGTCATTATTTGAGTCTCAAATAATGACCGATGAGTATCATCGGTCATTATTTGAGACACAGAACTCACTTGCAGAACTCACTTGTTTGCTGGAACAACGTTTTAGCCTTCTAATACAATTAAAATTCCTGTTGAATTCCTGTTGATCATTTAAATTAATAACTACATCTAACTTAACATTGGTTCTTCAAACTTAAACATTTTTTGAAGATCTAAATCATTCCATTTAATGACTCAATGTTATTTTATGTTTTTTATCTTGGAGAAATTTTTAAAATTAAGATATCTATAAGAAAGCCCAGCAATCAAAAAAATGATAAAAATAAAACATCAAAACCAATGAACCGAATCAAAGAAACAATGATTATAAATATAAACAAATATTATTTCACTTGTAGCTTTACTCAACTTTTCGAGAAGATAAGTTTCTTGTAAAATACCAGTTTAGTGACTTTTTGCATGCAATTTAAATTTCTGTAAAGTAATGACTTAACAGGAACCAATCCTGGGTTTCTAGAGTATAAGAAAAAATATTTTTATAGGCTTTCAGTGAATCAAAAGTGGTTGGGGCGTCATTATGGAAGTTTAAATTCTGAGCTTATTTTAAAAGGGAAAATTAAAATCCTTCTGTATTTTTTTAAGTTAACAATAACATAAGCGTTTTCTAGCTTGTTCGATTGACTTAAAACAGTTAACTGTAGTTTTCAATTTGAATTTAGGACATTCGTTGACTATCTTATAGGCTACTGTCGCAATGCTTTTTTTATCTTAATATGATGAAATCAGAAATAATGAAAGTAAAGATTGCTGTCCCAATATATATATATATATATATATATATATATATATATATATATATATATATATATATATATATATATATATATATATATATATATATATATATATATATATATATATACATACATGTTTTGTATTACATTTATTAAAGGGTAAAATCACCAGTAGACACCCTTATTAATTTAAATTTTCTCTTTACATTTTCGTCATTTTATCATGGAAAGGTTAGAAAAATACTTCAGAAACACATTATTAGCGTTTTTAATACAGATTAGTCTAAAAAATAAATAAATATAAATGAATTGACCATAATTATTTTTACAAATATTTGTTCGATTAAAGACATTTTTTGCCAATACTCAGCCTCTAAAATTTAGTAGTAAAAATTTAGTAGTAATTTGTCAACAGCTATGTGAATTAAACAATAAGATTTTAAAATTATATTTTGTGATAGGGGGCCATCCATAAAGGACGTCATCCAAATAGGTGGGGGGGGGGAGGAAGTCGAGTTAAAAAAGACAAAAAGGACAAGGGGAGGGGGAGGTTGTCAGAAAAGAACGTCACTTTATAGATTTTTTATTTTAGTTTAGTTAACATGGAAAACTACGTAAACATGTGTTTTTAAGAAGATAATGTATGAGAATATTTTTAATTTTATTTTTCAAAGGTGCAGCAACAGATTTAAACATCGTTGCGAGATGAAATAAATTTTTTTGGAGTTAAAAATAGGGGGGGGGGGAGGGAGGGATTTCAGGATTTTATGACGTCCTTTTTGACGGCTAGGGAAAAAGGACAACCGGTGACAAAGGGGGTTAGGGGGTCAAAAATTGGCTAAAAAATGGTGACGTCCTTTATGGATGGCCCCTAGTCCCATTAGTTGAGTTGATTCATAAGCGCTTTTTATGGTGGATCTAAAATAAACAACCGATTAGTGGAGCATGGTTGACTACTGGTAGATTCTTAGTTTAAAATCTCTTTGTTCGAACGAATAATTTGTAGAATCCGTTATGGTTAATTACCATATCTTACCATTAAGTTTCGTTAATTTTTTAAAATTATTATTATTAGTTATTAAAATTCTCCAAGAAGACCTGACGGTCAAACTATACTTTGACGGTCAAACTATAGTTTGACGGTCAAACTATAGTTTGACGGTCAAACTATAGTTTGACGGTCAAACTATAGTTTGACGGTCAAACTATAGTTTGACGGTCAAACTATAGTTTGACGGTCAAACTATA